GGGTGTTTTCAAAGTTGTGAGGCTTGATAAGCACTGCCAAGAGTTTCTAGGGAGATGCAGAGATAAAACGAGTGTCGTTCAGCCTGACCCACCACTGAGAGTGAAAACACACCGCCTTGTGTGGCACTGTTTTCTCCCTTTGGGTTGATTTTGTCCACCTCGGCTGGTTATTGGACTGAGAAGCTAGCCATAAAGGTAGTCCTTGACTTACAATTCATTTAGCAACTGTTTGAAGTTACAACAAGGCTGGGGGAAAAGTGACTTGTGTCCTTGCACAGGGGTCTGCAACCTTAAACACTCAAAGAGCCATTTGGACCCGTTTCCCACAGAAAAAAAAACACCAGGAGCCACAAAACCCTTCCCGTGCCTGACTATTTCTTGAGCAGCCACAAAACTAGCATACGTTTGAATTAAATGTTCTGTTTTCTTCTGAAACTTTTCATATCTTGGATTTATCCATGGTTGGCCTACCGGGGGTTGAAAAGCTCAATAAATCGCGTGCCGGTGGATGTCGCATATTGGTGGTTGTGATGCATATTTTGAGTAGACAGGGAGCCACAGCAGCGGGGTGAAAGAGCCACATGCGGCTCCAGAGCCATAGGTTGCTGACCCCTGGCTTAGTCCAAATTAATTCCAAAACAAGTCCTTCAGAAAAAGTCCTTCGCCCTGATCACAAACCTTTGTCTTCTTTGGCACCCTGCCAAAGGCTTTTCTTGGCAAAGCCCCACAAAGTTCAGAAGCAAGAGACACCAACAAGAAACAAAATGTAGCAACGTTGTTTTCCGACAAAGAAGCCAAGAGCCGTTGCTGGTCTTTTAAGCCTTCTGGGAGGAGCCAATCATCTCCTGGCCTTACTCCCAAGTCGTCCTCTCTGCTTTAGCTGCTCTTGCCTTCCGGCAGCTCTTCACATGCATGCACTAGGAACAGGCTCCTCCAGTTCTTCTGCCTCTCTGCTGTCCAACTCTGGGGGCTCCGGAGTCCGCTCATCGTTCCCAGATAACCCTGGCCCCATCTCTGCCTCCAACACAGAGCCCTCGTCCGGGCCTTCCCCAGACTCCAGGAGTGGCCCATGGTCCTCCCCAGCCTCCTCACTGTCCGACTCGGCTTCCAGCTCCGCACAATACACCCCTAGCTAAACCCAAAACACTGGATTTTTTGGAGAAGAAAATCTGGGTTTTTTTCCCCCCAAATAAAAGCCCTCTGGTTTTTTTTTTTTAAAAAAAAAAATACTGGCATAGAGAAGTAACATCAAAAAAAAATGTAAAATGCCCAATGCTTCCATCTTACATGTTAACATTTGGGAATAAAGTCAGTTAAATTCAATAAAGTCAGTACATTTCTGTGCAGATACATGTATGATTGTAATATTAACCTGCCTACATTTTCCTTTAATGATGCTGTAGAAAAGGCTTTTGTCTAATATTTCAGTGCCACCTTACACACTTTATACAAGAGTAATGCCACTCTGTGGCTTTATTTAAGACTTCAAAGGAAAACACAATTTAAAGTAGGGAGGGATGGAATTGAAGTAGTGAAACGTCCCTTTTCTCGAGATAATTCTCCGTGAAATTGTTCGAGGCGACCATGTCTGGAGAATTAACTCCATCAGGAAGCAGTGGAGAAAATTCATGTTTGATTTTCTTTTAATCTTTTCTTCTATTTTCTTTCTTTTCTTTTCTTTTCTTTTTTAAAGGGGCAGGTCAGGGGAAAAAAAACCTTTTGATTACAGAAAGGGCTTTAGAAGGACAAACAGGTGATGCGCTATTTCCTCAGCTAAAATCAGATGGCAAAAAAATACTTGTTTGAACTTCAACCAACCACCTCGGATTGAGGCTAGGAGTAGAAGCCAAATTATCTTCATTTCATGCAGTTTTTCTTTTCTTCTTCTTCTTTTTTTTTTTTTTTAGAACTGAGGAGTTTCATTGCCGCTATTAGCTAATTCCAGTCAAACATCCTGATAATCTCCTGTAAATTGCTTCGAGTTTTACCTCAGGGTGATTTATCTATTTTTGAAGGCCAACCTTTTTTTGGAAAAGTTTGTCTTCTTTGAAAGAAAACTTTACCCTAGGACCCCTTAATCTTCACCTACGCCTCTTCTCTGGATATCATTTTTCAATTCGTGAGACGCACATCTCGGTGCCTGTAGGATAATTGTATATTTCACTTTGAAGCAGGCAATTTTAATCATGCGTCTTAAGGGAAGGGAAATTGAAGCTTTACCTCCCTGTATGATTCAGATCTGTCATGTCATGGAGAGGCCCCGGATAGTTATCAACAACTTTTTTTTAAGAAAAAAGGACAATTCTGTTCAAAGGAACCCTTTGGGTCTCATTTGATTTCATAGCAAGTCAAATTTCTTTAAATTATGACTGGACCTTCTCTCTCTCTCCCTCTTCCTCTCTCTCTCTCTCTGTCTCTGTCTCTCTGTTTCTCTCTCTCTCTCTCTGTGTGTGTGTGTGTGTGTGTGTGTGTGTCTGTCTGTCTGTCTGTCTGTCTGTCTATCTTTGTGTCTCTGTTTCTTTCTCTCTGTCTCTGTCTCTGTCTGTCTGTCTCTCTCCCTGTGTCTCTGTCTGTCTGTCTATCTCTGTCTCTGTCTCTGTCTCTGTCTCTGTCTCTCTCTCTCTCTCTCTGTCTCTCTGTTTCTCTCTCTGTGTGTGTGTGTGTGTGTGTGTGTCTGTCTATCTTTGTGTCTGTTTCTTTCTCTCTGTCTCTGTCTCTCTCTGTCTGTCTCTCTCCCTGTGTCTCTGTCTGTCTGTCTATCTCTGTCTCTGTCTCTGTCTCTGTCTCTCTCTCTCTCTCTCTCTCTGTCTCTGTTTCTCTCTCTCTCTCTGTGTGTGTGTGTGTGTGTGTGTGTGTGTGTCTATCTTTGTGTCTCTGTTTCTTTCTCTCTGTCTCTGTCTCTCTCTGTCTGTCTCTCTCCCTGTGTCTCTGTCTGTCTGTCTATCTCTGTCTCTGTCTCTGTCTCTCTCTCTCTCTCTCTGTCTCTCTGTCTGTCTGTCTGTCTCTGTCTCTCTCTCTCTCTCTCTCTCTCTCTCCTTCTCATCTCCCATGCCTGATTGAGTTTAATCATAGCCAGAGAACTTCATCTATTTTTAGCTTTTATCTGCTTTTGATTCCTCTGATCAAAAACAGTGTTAAGGTATTTAATTATATTCTGCTTTAAAGTCCAAACACCACCCTCATCGGTGCTTTGCGGGCAAACTCCATCATTATTTCATCCTCTGCCTAGCCAATTTGATAGCATCATCTCCAAAGTTTTTCAAGGCCAGGTTACTGTAAGTAAGTAAATATGCCATTATTATTCTTTTTTTTTTTAAATACAGTTACTTGCCAAGAAATCAAATCCCTTCTGATGTAGAAGAGCGGGAAAAACCCTGACAATTATTTTGATTTATTTGAAGTTGTCATTGAAAATGGCAAAGCTGTTTAATCATACCTTATTTTTTTTAACCTGCTGGTAAACACCTGGGAAGGTGTGTCCCCAGGGCTTTGCAACCTCTCTTCTTGAAGAAAAGCAGGCATTGTCATAGTCAGCCAGATGTTCAGATTGGATTTGGCATTTTTATCCATCCATCGAGTCCTTCCCAAGGATCCGACATAGGCAGATGTTGTTCTTTGACGGTGTTAAAAGTACCGTCGCCGGATGTAAGCTTTTCCAAGTAAAGCTGCCTTTTTTGCAATTGACCGATGGGGATTTTGTCAATGCCGATGATGTTCAAGGAAGGATTATTCTTCTAAAAAAGAACTTTCAGTCCTCCCAAATGATTGTTAAAAAACAGGATCGCTCACATAAAACTTGAAGCTGGTTTTGATTTGAGCTTATTCATTGGAGCTTGTATATTTGCTTATTTTATTCTCTCTCTCTCTCTCTCTCTCTCTCTCTCTCTCTCTCTCTCTCTCTCTCTCTCTCTGTGTGTGTGTGTGTGTGTGTGTGTGTGTGTGTGTCTGTGTCTGTGTCTGTGTCTGTGTCTGTGTCTGTGTCTGTGTATCCGAAGCAGCTGGGCCACCCTTGATAATCGCTGTTAGTTTTTCTCCCTTCCAACATGGTTAAGGAAATGCCTAGAATGAGATATTGCCGAAACGGGTAAAATAAAAATAGCAAGTCACAGCAAACAGACCAATCATGTAGAAAGAGAAATTGGGTGGTTTTATTGTTTATTGAAAGTCATATTATGATCATATTCCGCTCGATAGATATTTATGCCTGTAATTTTTGACGCCGTGCTCATTTAAAACAGAAACAAGATGGGGAGAAGAAGAGGATAATAATAGGGGATAATATCCCGTAATAAAGGCAGGATAAAAAAAATATAATAAAGGGGCAGGAGAATTTAAACAATCGAAAAATAAACAAGTGTTGCTTCATGGAGCTGGTAAGAACTGGATTCCCGAATTTGAGAGAGAGAGAGAGAGACTTTGACCTGTGCAAAGGAGCATCTCTGCCCACCCAAAAATACAAATCATCAAGGACAGGTAGACCTCGACTTATTCGAATGGGGAATAGATCCTCGAATGGGGATTTTGCAGTATCCTTCCCCTGGAGTGGGAATGGAGATTTTGCAGTATCCTTCCCCTGCCACGCCCACCAAGCCACACCCACAGAATCAGTAGTAAAAAAATTTGAATTTCAGTACTGCTTTAAAGATATTTAAATATATATATATATTAAAGACTAAACATAAAATTAAAAAAGACACTGGGAAATACTTAAAATTTCCAAGAAGAGGAATATTAAAGATCCTTCAGATCAGAGGTGGGTTTCAGCAGGTTCTGACCAATTCTGGAGAACGGGTAGAGGAAATTTTGAGTAGTTCGGAGAACCGGTAGTAAAAATTCTGACTGGCCCCACCCCCATCTATTCTCTGCCTCCCGAGTCCCAGCTGATCGGGAGGAAATGGGGATTTTGCAGTATCCTTTCCCACCACACCCACCAAGCCACACCCACCAAGCAATGCCACACCCACCAAGCCACACCCACAGAACCGGTAGTAAAAAAAATTTGAAACCCACCCCTGCTTCAGATATCACGAAATATTTATTGCTTTGTTCTTGCTTTCTGGATATTTTGCACAGCTGGATGGGGTTTTTCAGGGGTCTTGCTTGGTGAGCCTCTCCAGGAAAGACCAGGAAACGAGGACCAACTGCCAGAAGGGAGTTGCTAGGAGACTCAAAGAAGAATTCTAGAGTCTTGGTCTTCCAACTGCCATCCTTTTCCTTCTGGTTGGTGGGAGCTGGCTGCTTTACGCCCTGCTGCAGCCCTTGCGTGGAGGAAGAGTAAAGTTAAGGCAGGGAGAAAGGAGGAGGGAGAAGAGAAGGAGGTACCCCTTGAAGGAGAATCTGACCAAGAAGGCAATCATCCTGGCTTGGACCACATGTTACGGAGGCATGGTCAAGAGGCGGTACCTGTGGTGGAGTTTGCTATGGCAACTTAGGATGAAGTTGCCCCTGCCTTTCCTGGGCCGCAAAATGCACCAGAGGATGGCCCTGGGTTCAAATGATGAAGCCGTGAGAAAGAATGGTGAAGCCGGAGTGTCCCATCTCCGAAAGCATCTGTAGGTCAGTCCCCAAGGAGGGGGGGGCGTCAATGAAGGAGACCCTCAAGGTTGGATGTCAACCTTCTCAGGTAGACCAGGCAGGAAACAAGAGTTTTGCAAGATCCAATCTGGGTCAGTCCCCGGGACCACAGGTTTTGTCTTCTGAGCTTTCAGGCTGGAGCCCATCCTCAGGGAGCTTCTCTCTAGCAGAGTGTGTGCTGTTCTTTGTGTGGTATTTATAGTGCTTGTTCTTTGTGGCTTTTGGGGTGTGGGTTGGGGTGATGGCTTGCTTGTGCTGCCCATTTCTAAGCACTTGAGAAGCTGGTGATAAACTGACAAGGGGGCCATTTCCCAGACTTCAATCATTTCCCTGGCTGTTTTTGTGCCTGCTCGTCCGACAATCTTAATTCTATTTTATTGGAAAGACTTTATTGGAATCTCGCCTTAGTCTTGCCTAACTCTCTCCCACTGTCTTTTTTACAGCCTGGGAAGTTAGAGAGTGACTGGTCCTCAGGTTATGACCACTGCAGCATCCCCATGGTCATAAGGTCAAAATTCCGGCACTTTAGTCACCGGGGGAGGGGACAGGGTGAGCAAGACCAGCCAATGCTTTCAACTACCGGTTCGGCAAACCAGATGTAAAATTAGCATCCAAGTCACCCAAATTGGTCCGAACCGGCTGAATCCCACTCCTGGATGGCATTCAGGCAGAAGTCTGTGAGATGGAATGACAGACCCACTCACTCTACCCGTGGAACTGATCTACCCAGAGTTGTGACTTAGCTCGTTGTTGTCCTTTCTTGCAGTTTCCGTTCAAGGTTCTCAGAGGAGATGGATTTTCCAACGTTCAACCGAGGACATCAAGCTAGAGATACCAGACAAGTTCCGATCTAGCCAGCTGCCGGATGAGCCACGGAGTCTGATGTCCCCCCCCCTCTGCATTCAGCCTAGTCATCGGTCAATAAACAGCATGTTTGCTTATATTGGAAGCTTGTGTTGGCTAACTGTATCACGGGTGATAAGACAATGAGGTCATCTCAACAAAGCTGTTCAAGAAGATATTGCCAAGGCACAGTGAGTTCCAGTCCTGCCTTAGGCATGAAAGGCAGCTGGGTGACTTGGGGCCAATCACCAGGAGATGGGGAGTTCTAGTCCTACCTTGGACATGAGAGCCAGGTGGGTAACTTTGGGTCATTCAGCAGGAGACAGTGAGTTCTAGTCCTGCCTTAGGCATGAAAGCTGGCTGGGTAACGGGTTGGCTGGCTCCCCACTCCAGGGGAAGGATACTGCAAAATCCCCATTCCCTCTCCACTCCTGGGGAAAAGATTTTGCAAAATCTCCATTCCCACCCCACTCCAGGGGAAGAATACTGCAAAATCCCCATTCCCACCCCACTCCTGGGGTAAAGATACTGCAAAATCCCCATTCCCTCCCCACTCCTGGGGGAAAGATACTGCAAAATCTCCATTCCCTCCCCCACTCTGAGGCCAGCCAGAGGTGGAATTTGCCGGTTCTCCGAACTACTCAAAATTTCCGCTACCGGTTCTCCAGAACCTGTCAGAACCGGCTGGATTTCACCCCTAATAGGGTGGCTTTGGAAAACTTCTCGACTGTCCCCAATCTTCCTACAGAGCATTATTATCTTCTCAGGTGTTTTGCTAACCCCTTCTGTAATCAGGAGCAACCTTGTATATTTCACTAGGCGCTGAGTGGTGCCAGGGGAAGAGAGACGGGGGGCCCCTGCTACTCTTGTTTCAATTCATTACCCAGTTTAATTGCATTTTGCAAAGGTTGCTGCTGGAGGGTCGGCAGCTATTAAGGGAAATGAACCTTCCGGAGAAAGACTTCCTTTCCTGCTTTTCATACACACTTAGCTGACCTTTGCTAGAAGACAGCTTCTGGCCCTCACCCCCCTCAAGGAAGCCTCCTGAGATCCAGCCACTCAGCTGCCAATGGATTTCAAAAAAAGAGAGATCAGCCTCGTAACTAGGACAATGTGCATATTCTGGAGCTTTTTTCTGCTACCTCCAGCAAAATGTAGAGTTGCCCGAAAGGAAGTCCACCCTCAATTTAGAACAACCGCCCGACACTCGTAAGCCAAGGGAAGAAGAGAAGATCCAGGAAACCTAATAATAATTATAATGATAATGATAATGATAATAAATATGATGACAACTTTACATGGGCATGGCTTAAGATGGGAACCATCAAGAAAGAAACAGAAGGCTTAATACTGGCTGCTCAAGAACAAGCACTACAAACTAATGCCATGAAAGCGAAGATACAAAAATCCACCGACAATCCAAACTGCCGACTTTGCAACAACAAAGTCAAAACTGTTTCACATTTAATATGTGAATGCAGCAAAATCACACAAACTGATTACAAAACTAGACACAACCGAGTTGCTAAATTAATCCACTGGTCATCCAGGAATCCTGGATCCATAGTCCAGCATTGTGTTCTCCACCAAGGGTCAGGTTGAGGTCTCTGGCAAAGCCACCAGCTGATTAATATGTTTCTGAGTCACACTGTTGGGCAATTTACAGCACAAGAACAATCAAATCCAAGGTCCAATCAAATTATCCCACCAAAAATTACAGAGGGGGGAGTTTCATTATTTAGATTGCAGCATTCATTGCTTTGTTATTTGGTGATTTCCCCATTGTCACCCAGCCAGCTTTCATAACTATGGCGGGACTAGAACTCACCGTCTCCTGGTGATTGGCCCAAAGTCACCTAGACAGCTTTCATAACTAAGGCAAGACTAGAACTCACCGTCTCCTGGTGATTGGCCCAAAGTCACCCAGACAGCTTTCATAACTAAGGCAAGACAAGAACTCACCGTCTCCTGCTGATTGGCCCAAAGTCACCTAGACAGCTTTCATAACTAAGGCAGAACTAGAACTCACCGTCTCCTGCTGATTGGCCCAAAGTCACCCAGACAGCTTTCATAACTAAGGCAAGACTAGAACTCACCGTCTCCTGCTGATTGGCCCAAAGTCACCCAGCCAGCTTTCATAACTAAGACGGGACTAGAACTCACCGTGTCCTGGTGATTGGCCCAAAGTCATCCAGACAGATTTCATAACTAAGGCAGAACTAGAACTCACCATCTCTTGCTGATTGGCCCAAAGTCACCCAGACAGCTTTCATACCTAAGGCAAGACTAGAACTCACTGTCTCCTGGTGATTGGCTCAAAGTCACCTAGACAGCTTTCATAACTAAGGCAAGACTAGAACTCACCGTCTCCTGCTGATTGGCCCAAAGTCACCCAGACAGCTTTCATAACTAAGGCAGGACTAGAACTCACCGTCTCCTGGTGATTGGGCCAAAGTCATCCAGACAGATTTCATAACTAAGGCAGGACTAGAACTCACCGTCTGCTGCTGATTGGCCCAAAGTCACCCAGCTGGCTTCCATGCCTAAAGTTGCACTAGAACTCATGTTGTCCTGCTCTTTAGCCTGCACCACCAGAGCAAACTGGCTTTCTAACTACCTTAGATATTGGATGGATGGATGGATGGATGGAGGGATGGATGGAGGGATGGATGGATGGATGGATTGACTGACTGATTATATGCTATCATTTTTTTCAACTCCTAATGTTGACATAAGTAGATTTTCTCCAGGACAATCGATCCTTGAGCTGTTCTTTCAAACACAAGAGACCCCACTTGCTTAAACGTGAAACGGAGGCAAATCTAGGATTATATAAATGAGTCCGAGATGCGGTCAAACATACTCTGAATCTTCTTCTTGAGATGTTTCAGACGGCGAGATTCAACAGTTGCGTTATGGCACCATCTAGTGCACAGTCCAAATCTCCTGGCTGGCAAGACGGCTTTTTTAAAAGAAATCCCCAGACTTTTAGGAGATATCAGGAAATCCCACAGCAAAAACTTTCCAGAACAATATTGTTTGACACACACACACACACACACACTAAGCTCACAATGGTTGATCCATCCACTCCTGGATCGGGGGGTGGCATTTCCTTCAGAAGAAAAGTGACGACCAGTTTTTTAAGATTTTAAGAAGTGTGTTCCTTTCTTGATTTGCAATTGTTCGTACCCAAAAAATATAAACATCAGACAGGATTGGGGGGGGCTAATCCCCGTTCCCCATAGAAGACTTAAAAAATGGGATTCATTGCATAGATGGCACAGCCAATATTTAGATAGCACAGCCAATATTTATCCGTGACAGACATCTCTGTTGTGCCAGTAACTCAGATCTGGGCCACAGGAGCTTATAACACACTAAATAAAGATTAGCACAGTCTATAAGGATCTTAGCAAAGCATACCTTCTCCCCGACCGGGGGGGGGGGGGGGGGGGGGGGGGGGGGGGGGGGGGTTCTTGGCTTTTGCTAACCAAATGAGGTTTTCTAGGAACAGGATTTGAATGACAGACTCTTTGGGGTTTGCAAAGCTGTTATAATATTTGCTTTGCTGTATTTACAAGCATCGGAGCAATATGTCAGAGGAAGCAAGCTGGCACTTGAAGAGGCAGGGACGGCCACTAAGTTAGGCAGCCGGGAAAGCTTTGAGGTGGAGAAGTCTATCCAACAGCACTTAGAGCTAAAAGGGGACATGTGATATTTTCAGGAGCAGGGGAAGCATTTTCTGGGCTATCCGTTGGTCAGGGAGCGAGGGTGGCGGTAGGAGAAGGCTACAAGTTTTAAGGTTTACGGCTGTGGTCTGCCACAAGTGAACTGGGGAGTTATTCGTCCAGGTTGGGGATGGGCAGGCCGTGGGCCCCAACTCTATTTCAACACTTCTGAATTTGCGTGGTTCAAATTTCCCCTGTAAAATTGTCCTTTTGCAATAAATGCATTGTAACTCAGCAGACTGGTCTACTTTTCTCTTTAAAGGAGGAGGAGGAGGAGGAGGAGGGGGAGGGGGAGGAGGAGGAAGAGGAGGAGGAGGAGGAGAGAAGAAGAAGAAGAAGAAGAAGAAGAAGAAGAAGAAGAAGAAGAGGAGGAGGAGGAGGAGGAGGAGGAGGAGGAGGAGGAGGAGGAGGAGGAGGAGGAGGAGGAGGAGGAGGAAGAGGAAGAGGAACTAGCCCTACATCACTGCATCCTTAGCCATGACCTCAGTAGGTAATGGGGATCCAATGTATGCCTTTAAACAAACAGAAATGCATGATTCAGGAAGATTTACTTATACTGGATCAAGAGTAAGTTGATGTGAACTCTTAACAGAGCCTCCTCTGAAGCTCTCGGCTCCCAGGGTCTTGGTGTCCTCTCCTCCTGACTCATATCTTCAAACTTCCCATTTCTAGGAACCTGCTTATTCACTCTTTGGAATGAGCTCTTCTTGCCAGCAAAAGTAGGTCAAGCCCAGCACGCTGTCTTCCCCTGGTGGGAAAGCTGCCTCCTGCTGTCACGCCAGAGAGCCTCTCCTCAAGCCACCTTCCGACCATCGCTGGTGCTCCCGCTTCTTCAGCAGATAGCCCTTCTGCAAGAGTCCCAACTCCAGAGCACCTGTTGGACTTCTTGGGGTCCCTCTTACTTTGAAAGGTGAGGACTCCCAACCCTGTGGCTACTCAAGATGTTTGGAGCAACGCTGAAGAAAGCAAGAGAACCTGCTCCTTCAGCTAGAAGAGAGCAGGAGCTTCGAGGAACGGGGGCTGTTACGTTCCCATCAAGTCTGCTCTTCTGATCACACCCCTTGGCCCGAAGGCATACCCAGATTTGTTTGCATTTTCAAAGGCTTAAGTAATCCGAAACAGGATCTCTCGCCTCCACCTCTCCTGGTTTTTCCTTGCTACAGTGGAAGAAATGGCACTTACTTTTTTTACACTGTAACATTCTTCTCCAAATTTGCCTCGTTATGGCCCTCCAGATGTTACACAACACTCCGCAGCCTCGGGCAACATGACCAAGAATGAGGAGATGCCATTCCGCAACATCTGGATGGCCTAAATCTCCCCTGCCCCATGATCCAAGTCTGACGCGAAGGTCCATCTGTTTCAGGAAATGCAA